AACAACAAGGTAGTGGCCGGTTGGCAGCTCTGTGCCTCTCTTAACGCGAACATCCATTACAGAGCGTTTTAAATCAGGCGATACGATTATCAAATCGATCATCGACTTCTGCGAACAAGCTTCCCGTACCAGGTATACTGATGCACTCTTCAATGCTCGTTGAAAGTGTTCATAATGGACAGTCCGTTGTTTGCGCAAAACCGCAACAATTTCATGCCGTTATTGCAGAAGTTGCTAGTGCCTTTTTCTCCAGTCACGCCGTTCCACTTTTCAGCGTCTACTCCGACATGCGCATTAAAATCTCCCATGAGTATGAGGGACTCTGTATTCGGCAGTTCGTACAGAGCACACTGCAGTTCCTCAAGGATGGAATCGTAATCCCCGTGTAAATTGGGTGCATAGACCTCTACTACCGAGGTCAAGGCATTTGTCTGTTGTAGCTTCAGTCGGAGATTTGCCATTCTTCCGTTGACATTCTTCCACTGAATGATTCTATCAGCTAGGTTGGGTTCCACCACAACACCAACACCGGCCTGATCGTGTGTCGTGGAGTCGACACCTGAGTAGAATTGCTTCCACCCGCAGAGGTTCAGGATTCCAGAGCCTGACGCTTCGTTGACCAGAGTCCAATTATGCCGAGTTGATAACTCGCGCCCCCATCAGCTGGCTCCGGCTCTATCTCTCATAGTGAGGATATATTCCGATTTCCAACTGTAGGCTCCCACCGGCGGTGTCTTTTCTGTCGTGCTGTAATGGCATCGTTATGTTTGCTTTCTCCGTTCAGAACTGGTAGCGGTTCAGTTGCTGACTGGCATCTTCTTTGTCGATCTTTGGCAGTCGTGTTCCTCTTACTACCCCGCCTCCCACTAACTAGCGAGAAGCGAGAAAGAGGTTGTAATCGGCCATTTTTTTGTACTCTGGCTCAGTTCTCATGCGCACCCCTTGGTCATCCGGGCTACGACTAAGCCCATCGGTATGTTGTTCGGTAACGGCGGTATCATGATAAACAAGTGATTACGTTTTACTGGTAGCTTCGTCACAGCCTCCACCAATTATTCTTTCCCATTCGGGCTTGAGACGGGCAACGGCGGGGTTTTCCAGCATCGTCCATCCTTGAAAAATAGAAACCGCTGTTTTGGCGCTGCAGATGGACTTGTGACACGATTAGAGAATAAATATTATGTAATAATACTGAACAGTTTAAACGTGTAAATATCTTTTGTGGTATGCCACTGCTTATCAGATTTACTATGAACATATTCCTAAACGTTTCAAATCATTACTGGACAGCCCTCAGGGGTGACGTTATACAAAAAAGCGAATGATACAGTATAAAAGTACAATCATGTAGCAACTCCATTATAGAGCTGTTAACCTCGATAGTGAGCTGCTGATAATTTCGTTCCAGTGAGTGCTGAGTTCCATATCAATATCTCTGCTCATCCACTGCTTGGAGTGAACAGTAAGAGTAGAATTACCTTTAATTTCTGCTCAGTAGCTTTCTTTTCGATGGATTTCGTTCCTAGTCTCATAATCTGGTTTGTTGTTCTTGTATAGCAAGTTTCACAGCCGCGGAGGTTGTTCCACATGCCGTCTTCCTCATCTGCAGATTTTTTTGGTTTTTTTTCGGTTTTTGTCTTTATGTGCGTGTTCACCATGACAGAGAGCGGCATTGTGCCATCGTCTCAAGTTGCTGAGGTTCTCTTCATCTCCTCGGTGGTGTTGCAGGTTTCTCCTATTTAATTAAAATCGCACTCGAAAGCCAGTGTACAAATTCACCGCCGTTGTTTGGTTTTAGATTTGGGGGTTTTAACATCAGTTTGGCTTCGTAATGTTGTTTCACTTCGAGATAGTAGCCATATTTTACCCTTTCAGGCGATCCTTTGTACTTTTTCGTTTAGATATTGCACATCTGGAACTGATGAACACTGATGCTGACGTCGAATGTTTGTTCTTAGCTTTTCGTTGTTTCGCTACCACTCCAGTTTTGCTACTTATTGATAGCTTCTTATGTTAGCTGTTTTTTATAGCCACTGTATTTGAGTGCTATTGGGATGGAATAATTTGTGGTGCTGGCGACTGCTCTCATAATGATCATTATCATAATCGTCGTCGTCATCGTCATCAACATCATCAGGTTTACTAGTTTGTAACACGATTGATAATGCTGCTGCGTATATTGTGTGACAGATGTACGTCCATTGGGCAGCGTTTATCGTTGGTAAATAAAACCACTGTTCCTTGTCTGAATGATGCATCAGGTCGTCGTCTGTCATCATCGTAGTGTACTTATCTTTGAGCAGCGAACAGTACCATTTAGCAGTACGAATAGTCGCCTGATTTATTGTTTTAAGCAACGACTTATGTTTAGCGTTAGTCATCAAGGCAGCGTCATGTTCAACCTGAATTCGCTTGCGGTCGAAGACTCGGTCGACAGTCAAGCGGATGAATCGATGGAAACTTTCAGCACCTCGGCTGCGTCCAGCGTTGGCGCAGCCCATCGATTTGGCGACGTCGCCGATGTCGGCTATCAGCGCGTGGCAATTTCTAGCGAGGATGTGGGGAGGGTATGCTGTTATAGATTTTGCTCGAGTTTCGACGTGCTTATGACAAACCGTTTGCGAAATGCAACCACCTGCATGCAACTTATAGCATTTCTCGAACTTTAGATAGCAAATGTTAGTTGTCTCATTGTCTCATCCGTGAGTGATATGTGATATATTTATACATAGAGATGATATAATCTTTGGGTAAGTCACAAACGGAAAGATAACGCATAAAATAGTCTTTAATTGGGGACATCCGACGTTTCAGACCAAGCTCGGTCCATCTTCAGTGTACAGGGACAAAAGACACGTAATGTTTTCATGCAGGTCAGTCAGTTAAACTGTTTTGTCAAATGTTATCTCTGCAAGTTGGCCAGTATATCGCAACCGTTTTTTATCGTAGCTGTGGTCGCCTTAGGTCCACTTTATTAACATAATAGGCTGCCCATTATTGCTGGAGTTTCGGTACGGTTTTCTTCCATAGTGTCATTTGTAAAATAAAAATGTGTTGGGGTTTCGTGAGGCGAGGAAGCGGACTCATAATTTTCTCATCGCATTTACATCGCATGAATAGTCCTGCAAAGTCCTGTCTCAACGCCTCAAGGCTACACAGCGTAACTCGTTTTGCTTGGCAACGGTGTTTGTATGGTGCATGCTCCAACAGTTCCATCCATGCTATCAAGGTATATGGCTGCGAACCCATGAAGTGTCGATGCCCTTCCGTTCTTGGTATAATTGATCCAATTTGAGTAGGTATCACATTCCAGTGCCGTCCTAGCCAAGAAGTGGCTTATTACCATAATCAACGGAACAGATACAAATGGTTTTTAGTACCCTACGCATTTATCGACCTAATTTATGGCTGCCGTTCGAAGTCGGCTCATGAGAAGTTTATCAGTATTACAGCTGTTAAAAGTATACCGGCCTAATATAGTTAGTAAATGTACAGTTGTAATTCGGAAGACGGACAGGATTTGGTTCGAAATGCCAGTTTCTAGTTTAAAATGATTGTAAGTAAAGAGTTAATGCTTTGTTTTCCTGTCCATAGTAGTTGGAAACACATTATGTGAACGATGTTTCTCCAGCTAATACTCTTCATATGCTATCGCGTAAGTATCAAAGTATTTTCATACGGAAGAGTTAATGCAAATAGCGCATAATACATCCAAGACCAGATTTCATCGCGTATTGCTTTGCCTCCTTGCTAGTAGTTGCCAATGGGGACGTTAAGCGCGGCAACAACTATTTCAGTCCTTGCAGTACTATTGATCATTCCCGCTGATTCACAAGCCTTCCGTCTTTCTGAGGTAAAAATGAATAGCCCTACATAGGGAGGAAACAGGTCACAGCACCCAAATAGTCTGGCAGTATATCTGTCGTTTAATCTAAGTTTTGGTTCATGGCATCGAAACGATGAAGCCATTATGAGCCGTTAGATCAGCTTGATATCACAGACGACCCGAATCATGGAAATGTAGAGAGAACGACTTTCAAAAGTTGCACGCTTTCCTCTGCGTTATTTATCCCTGTCGTTCTCTCGATGTTCTAGTCATTACATGAAGCTGGAGTTCAAGGATGCTAAAAAGAAACTCTGTAGATTTCTTCTATGATTAGTTATTGTCTTCGCAGTTTTAAAGTATTTAGAAATGCGTATGTGAGGTAATCGTTTAACTTTGACAAGGTAATCAGTCAAATCAGGAGTTATACTGGCGAGGAAACGCGAAAGGGAGAGTGTTGCTCCTTTGTCTTAGCAGAACGTTTTGTGTTTGTGGTTATGTGCGGTTTGCTGTTGCATTTTCGAGTTGCTCTGCTTCCCTAAAATCATTCAAGAGTTTCATTTTCTGATCAGGTTATCTTCGAGGACTTGCGAGATGCATCCAGCAGCCTGATTACAGCTTTGAACATACGACGAAAATACATTCGTCGAGCACTGATGAACTTTCCGAACACGCTCAACTGCTTCTTGACCGGCTACTATCCGGAACACATGCCGCGGATGACAAAGGTCCAAGCAGCTTCAGGTAGTTCGTTTATTTGCTGTCTCTTGAATGCATCGAACATTGGCATTTATGTTTGGCATAGCCGATTTTGTTTTCGGTTTCTGCCATGTTTCATTTTTTATAATATATTTATGATAGTTAACCATAAATTGTTTTTTTTCGAGGTTTGGCTCTGTTTGTTCGTTTTGTTGAGCGTTGTTTTGTTCACTACGAGTAGACTGAGAAGCACGAGTTTTTGTTGCTACCGTACTTTCTCTCTTACGAAGAAATTCATATTCTGATCATGATTAGGGTATGTTGAAGCATATAACCATGTCCTTATTGGCCTTATTTGTACATTAGACGCATTTACTACCTGTCTAATATTGTTGTAGTGCGTTTATTTGGCCTTAAAATGATATTACAGTTTTGAAGCGTTGTGAGAGTTGCCCTGGTATTGAAGGTAAGCGAGGACGAGGAGGCTGCTCTGTTGTTGTCGTAAGTAGCGAGTGAATTTGGACTGGCGAGTTTGTAAAGTTGCTTAACCACTGTTCGCTTCAAGATTCTAGATTTTCTCTGCTTTCACATATCTCGATAGCTGATTTGTTTTTGCTTAAGCTTGGCGCAGAGCTAACCCTGCTTTTTTGGTTTCTGTTCAATGCTGAATTCATATTTTTTGTCTCGCGGTTCAGTGTAAGCGCCGTTTGCATATTTCGGTAATTTAAGGTGTAACCACTGAGTCATGCTACTTCAAATTTTTTGGACTAAAGAAACATTACAAATAGCCGGTTTAAGTAGCCACACAAGGCTCAAGGGATGCAGTGTTGCGACTGAGTTACACTCATCAAATGTGTCGCTTTATTTGGATTTCTTTTTTACAGTGCGGAACACAGTTCAGAGTCGATTGAATCGACTGTACTACTGCGGATCGTGCAGAGGAATTAATACTTTATTATGCATGTAGCTTGCTTATCAATTTTCGGATTAAAATTTGTCATGGCGTTTTAATGGCCGCGTTCAGACATATTGTGGTAAGGTCCAAAGGCGTATCACTGTGTGAGTTGAAGTTGACTACGTTTGTAAGGCAAAGAGTGCCAGTCGAGAGAAGACGTGTATACGAATAAAGTCGCAAAGGGTTAGTACGAACATCTGATTGTTTGAAGGAATGAAGATTTCGTTCAGGTGGCTTGAAAACACTTTAGATTATGAGTTTTGGACAGCTGGTGTCATGTAATAGGATATCTCAGTGTTATCTTTCGCTTGCCTCAAAAGAACCTTCTGGTCAAAGGACCATTTGTTATTATTTGGTCACTACAACGCCCCTACTTCTTCTTTTGTTGCAGGATCTATCTTGGCAAAAAGGAGTGAAATCCGTCTGGTCGAATATCGAATAATCG